CTTTCCCTCAGGATTTTGGTATAAATAAACTCCAGCTGTTTTATCAGCCTCCATAAGCACTGGCACTTCCCTCCTCCACAAATCACAGAACTGTCCAAGAACAGAACAATCCATTTCTCCCTGGACAGATTCATTTCAAAGATCCTGTGAGAACATTCTCACAGCTACCCCCAAATCAGTCTGGCTCAAAAATATCTTATTTTCCAAGACTAAAAATGACCATGGAGACTTAATCCCTCCATATGATACTGCACCATTCAGAGGATTATTTTCAGGCTGTTATTAATAGCATGTGTCAACAGGCTCATCCTTTCTGGATCTGTAAACATCTCCTTATTTTTTAAATATATGGGAACCAAATAAGATGTTGAGGAGACAACCCAGCAACATGTGGGTTCCTATGACCTACCTTAGTGCAAATTGTGGGCATTTATTTAGTGCAATTATTTGCCTTAGTGCAATTATTTGCCTTAGGGCAAATTATGCCTGACCAATCTTTTTGCCTTTCATAACAAAATGACTATGGACAAGGGCAGAGCAGAGGATGTTATTTAATTTGATTGAGCAAAGCTTGTGACTTCATTTCTCATAGCTCTGCTTGCCAAATTGGGGAAGTATGTCTTGAGCATGCAGGCTACAAGGTGGCTGAAAAACTGGCTGGATCATTGGTCTAAAAGATCAACAGTTTGAAGTCCAAGTGTTTCCTGGTTACTTTATTCCCTAGGGGCGAACACTGGAGCCAGTGCAGTTTAACATCTTTGATGAGCATGATAGGATGAAACTCGGCAACGCCGGATGGCAGAGCTACCATTTAGAAGGACCTTGACAAGCTGAAGGAATAGTCTGATAGAAACCTCATGAAATTCTACAAAAACAAATGCTAACTCCTACACCTGGACTGGGATAACCACACACATCAGTGCAGGCTGGGTGCTGACTAACTAGGTAGTAGTTCTGCAGAAAAGGACAGGGGAGTCCTGATGGACAACAGTTTGAACAGGATTAAGCAGTGGGCCTTTGTGGTGATGAATACCAACTGCATCCTGGGCAGTATTAGGAGAAGCGTAGGCAGCAGGTTGAGGGAACTTACTGTACTTCAGCTTATGTCTCTTGTCCTATCTCTGGCCATGACTGAAAAGAATCTGTCCCCATTCACTTGACACATGGTATGCGTCAATATTCTTAAGATATTTGTATACACTGGCAAGATCTCCTCTCAGTCTTCTCCAGGCTAGATAGGCCCAGCTTTCTCAGCCTTTATGCTAAGAGTTGCTCCAGTCCCATAATCATCTTTGTTCCCTGCACTGGAGTCTATCCAGTAGTTTCATGTCCCTTTTGTGCTGGGAGTCCAGCACCAGACACAGCACTCCAGCTGCGGCCTCACCAGGGCTGAGTGGAGCAGAAGGATCCCGTCCCTCCACCTGCTGGCAACACTCCTCCTGATGCAGGATCCCATTGGCTTTCTTAGCCACGAGGGTACATTGCTGCCTCATGGTTAACTTGTTGTCCACCACGACTCCTAGATCCTTTTCTGCAAATCTGCTTTCCAACAGGTCAGCCCCATGCCTATACTGATGCTTTGGGTTATTCCTCCCTAGGTGCAGAACCTGTGAGGTTCCTCTTTTCCCCTCTCTCCAGCCTATCCACATCCCTCCGAATGGCAGCACTGGTGTATCTGGTATATCAGGCACTCCTCTCAGTTTTATAGCTTCAGCAAAATTGCGGAGGGTGCACTCTGTCCCTTCGTGTACATTCATGAACAAATTGAACAGGATCGGACCCAGTACTGACTGCAAGAGACACCACTAGCTACAGGTGTCCACTTGACTCTGTGCCACTGATCACAACCATTTGAGTGCCTCCATTCAGCCAGTTCTCAATCCACCTCACTGGGCCCTCGAATGGCCAGCGCTTCCTGAGCTTGCCTATGAGGATGTTACGGGAGACAGTGTCAAAAGCCTTGCTCAAGATGAGGTAGACGCAGCCATAGCTCTCCCCTCATCTACTCAGCCAGTCATTCCATCATAGACAGCTTTCAGAGTGGTTAAGGTTGATTTCCCCTTGGTGAATCCATGCTGACTACTACCCTCTTGTTCTCTACATGTCCTTCACAACAGCCCGGATGGGCTGTTCCATGACCTTTCCAGGGATGGAGGTGAGGCTGACCGGCCTGTAGTTGCCTGGCTCCTCCCTCTTTTGAAGACTAGTGTGACATTGGCTTTCTTCCACTCCTCAGGCACCTCTGCTGTTCTCCATGACCTTCCAAAAATGATGGGGAGTGGCTTAGCAAGAACGTCCTCCAGCTCCTATAGCACTATTGGGTGCACTCCCATCAGGGCCCATGGATTTGGAGGTATAAAGTTTGCCTAAATGATCTCTAACGCAGTCCTCCTTGACCAAGGGAAAGTGTTCCTCTCTACAGACTTTCTCTCTTGTCTTGAGGGTCTGGGATTCCTAAGGGCAAACGCTGCTGGTGACAAGATAAATTCATCTCACTTTAGTATTTTACCTGTAATGCTGCCCTTCATTTGTTGAATCATTGTGACCTTAAATACACACCAAAATATTAGTCAGTCAACTAGGGAGTGGGGGTTTTCTGGGCTGAGTTTCTGCGACCTAAAAATCCTCAAATCCTTAACATGAAGATTAGTAATTAATGGTTCATGATTAATTTAGTGGTTCCGTTGAATCTTAATGTTAAATGAAAAGCTTCTCAAACAGCAAATGCTTTTTTAATTATGACGACAAAGTCGTGCCTGAATTAATTCAAGAGAAATTAGGAATGGCACACAATTATTTTCTTAATTATGAGAACAAAGTTGTGCCTGAATTAAGAGAAATTAGGAATGGCACACAATTAATTTAGCCTCAGTATTAAACAATGAAGGACCTCAAACTTTTTACACATGGGGGTTTGCCCAAAAACTAGCTTCTGTCCTCAGGCTTGCATGCTTCGTGCTCAAGGTATACTAGTCTGCACCTAATCCCCAGGAGACACGAATTGTTACAAACATTAGCAAGCCATTTCTTCAGTCCAAAGTGTAGCCCTTGCCAATTTTGCCCCTGTTAAGACGTGTTTGGATTAATTCCAGAAGGTGACTACAATGCCTGTGCAGCAGTGGGACAGACATGGTAAGAGCTATGGCTCTGCTGCCAGAGCCAGAGAACACGAGTCCATCATGCGCCTTCACGGCTGCTTTCCTGGCAGGGCGTGCGGTTGGTCACAGACTACATTTCCCAGGAGCCTGCTGTGCAGGAGCCTCTTATGTCACTGAGCGAGGACCCTGCTGCTCTTCAGGAGGCATTTGAGCTGCTGCAGTTGCTAGTGCTGGCGCAGTAGAAACATGACCTTCAGAAACGTGTCTCCTCAACAACCCAGAACCTAGTTGAGTTATTGAGTCAGCGTGGCCAGGGCTTCGTTTCTTTCAGGTCCTTTCAGGGTGGCTGGTTAGTCTTGTTTCATGTTACATGTTAAATGTCACCTGCAGAAGAGAAGAGCTTACCTCTTCCAGACAGATGGCCCCGAGCCAGCAAATTCGCTCTGTCAGCCTGTGCAGCGGCTGTGGCAGAACTAGGTACAAATCACCATCATTTTGCTAGAGGGAAGGGGTCAAAATTTACTTATGGGGGAAATGGGAACTTCAGTCACCGTATGATCCTTGATGTTTGCTTTGGCGTTTCTGCTCCAGAAAATTTCTTTGTTCCATTCCATTCACTGTACTTTTCCATAATTGAAGCAAGTATTTTACGCCACCTGGTTTATCTGTTACTGCAGCATGGGATTTTTAAATCTAGATCTTTGCCTCTGAGACTTAAGAGCTGCTGTCATAAAGCTAAACAGGCTGTGTCTAATTTAAGCTTTGTGTTTGCTTTGTTTCTGCAAAAAAAACTAAAGAGGACAATTTGTTACCTAAGTTAGTTGCAAGGTGCTGACTTCTTTAGGAATTTCCATGGTTAGCCAAAGAAAGAAATAATCTTGTGTTTCTGCTTCTAGTGGAAATGTCTGTTAAAAATGGAGTATAATATAAAGCTTGCTGCAATGCAGGAAGAGCCTTGGCATCTGCATGGTGCTGGTTTGTGATCAGTACCTTATTTGATATTTGATTTTTCCGCTGGTGCTGTGTAATTTCTGCAAGCAAACCTGTTGAATTGTTTTTATATTTGTGACTTTTCTATTTTTGATAATTACAATGTGTGACTAGGCTGTAATCTGCTGAGGCTTAATTGCAAACAGAATTAATTGCATTGCCTAGCACCTCTGAGTCCTGTGCACTCAAGCACCCTGCTGTGCGGTGTGTTGCACAAAAACGGAGACGAAGACAGTTCCTGCTCCTGGTACTCACAGCCTAAGACAGGCTGCAACAGCCTGGGAACTGCCATCACCCAGTGAGGCGCTGCTGGTCTGCCCACATCCTTAATGTGAAGTTTGGCTGATCTTTATTCCCCTGCTGCTGCGGGGAACAACTGGAACACAATCCCAAACCTCTTGTAAAGCAGGTGTATTGCACAACTGATTAACTTCTTCAGAAAGAAATAGGGAGAAAGAGCTGGCATTTGAAGGGGATATGTTTTTGTTACTTAGTGCTAAAAGCCACTTTTAGCAAAGCTGAACATAAATTGTCTTTTGTTCTCCACTAATGACCTATACCCTGGTGGAAGAGGTTCCTGCTGCCTGCTTGTCGCCTCCATGCTGTTCACTGTGTTGCGGGTATAATCCGGCCACCATGCAGTAGGTCTCTTCAGGTAGAGCCAAGTGTTCATGTTTGTCCCGTGCTGTCTCTCTTCAGTGACATTCCCCCTGGACCTCACGAAAACTCGGCTGCAGGTCCAAGGCGAAGCTGCTGTTGGTCGCAGCGGAGCCCCTTACAGCGGGATGCTGCGTACCGCAGCGGGCGTCGTGCACGAGGAAGGCTGGCTACAGCTCTGGCAAGGAGCCACCCCTGCTGTCTACAGGCACATAGGTGACTATCTGCTCATGGTGGGACAAGTTAGCTGCTTTCTGAGGCCAAGCCTTGTGGCTTGATCTTGCTCTATCTCGTATGTCTCTCTATCCACTTACTTAGAAATATTTGACTGGCCCAATCCTTGCCCAATCTTTCACAGCCTTATTTTGGCTTCAGGAAAAAATAAAATAAAATTTTCCTGTCATCTTCGCATGAAGTTTTTCAGTGCGGACAGGCACTTGGCTTCCTCAGAACAATAACTGTCTTTTATTTGTGGGAAGTAGGGAGAGGCTGGGAAAAACATATAAGCTTCCAAGCAGTAGGATGAAGAAATGCATCAGCAGTTTGTTCAGAGGTAACAGCTTTCTGTGTTTTATTTGCAAATACAATGACAGAAGCAAACTCAAAAGCACTTGCAGGACATTTTGTTGCTGGGAGGCCAGCTAAGAAACCTAGTTTCATATAGTCAAAGTAGGGTCTGCTGAGCAGGCTGGCACAACCCATACTGCCTCTTTGTAGACCTATGGCTTAGCCAAGGAGATTCTCTGATAGTGAAAAGTTCTGGCATTTATTCCAGTCAGTTGCCCTGCACTGTGATCCAGGACTTTCATATCCATTTTGATCATGGATATGAAACTCAGCGAGCAGCTGACCTAGGCAGACGCTGTCAGGTTTTACAACTGATCTTTTGATGTTTCCGTAGCAGTGTGACATCCAGAAATGGCACTAAAACCTGTCCCCCACTTTTGTTTTCCACAGTGTACTCTGGAGTGCGGATGGTCGCGTATGAACAACTTCGTGACTCCGTGCTTGGCAGGGCTGAGGATGAAAGCTTTCCCTTCTGGTAATCCTGCATTTATGCTGTTGCCTGTTTGGGGATTTTCCTTATTGTAGCAGTTCTGCAAAATTGTCTAGAGAAGGGTCTTTTCCTCATGGCTTGTCTGTCATGAAGTTAAATACAAGTTAAGTTAAATAGAAAAAAAAATAGGAGTTTAAACTCTTTTTTTTTGAGCAGTGTATTTTCATTCAGCTCAGAACAGAATTAAGAAATATTGAAATAAATTTCTCAGTGGCTTAACTAAGACCATGCTTACTCTGGTAAAGATGCCCTAATAAAGAGAAATATGCTGGAATAGCTGCTTGGGAAGATGCAACTTGTCCCTGGGCAGAATGTGTCTGGATCAGGGCTGATCCAGGCTGCAGCTTTGCCGTGATTCATAGACTGCTCTTCCTTCCCTCTTGGGGTCTTCGGTGTAGTTTAGTCGTAGCTAAACACAGCTGTGTGTGACGGCTGCTAGAGAAGCTGGCATCTATTGTACAAATCTATACGTTTCTGCTATTTTACTGCTTGTCATGCTGCCGAGGTAAAGGGAACAGGGGTGAGAAATATTGTCATTAAGCCTTTAGATTATGAGTGCGGAATGTAAAGAGAATGGGAAAGCTTGTTTCTGGTGTCATATTTCCTCGCTACTAAAGAAACAGATTGTGAAGGAAAAAACCACTTCGTTCATGTGTCTGTGATAGATGTCAGTGTAAATTATCATCATCTTTCCTGAGGAGACAAATACTCCTATACAGAGCAAAAAGAAGATCTTTTCTCTGCAGATTTAATTCAGCAATACTTAAATCTCAGTCAGCTCTTTGCTGGACCCCTGTGGGGCATGAAGCAGATTTTTCTGTAAACTCATTTGCAAAAATCAGTATTTTTAAAAAATTATTTTTTTGCTAAAATTTTGGTCATCGTTTTCTAATCATGTAGAGATTATTATATCATATCCAATGAAATATTTTATTCCAAAATGTATTCACTGATCTTAGAGGCAAAATGCAAATACTTTTAAGATGGGGTTTATAAAATGTAATGTAGATAAAATGCTTCTCATGCACATTGCTACAGAAAGGGGAGCTAAGGATAATACTGAAATAATCAGTAGCAGAAAATTAGCATGACTGATCTAGTAGCAATGTGGGAGAGAAATTTTTGTATATTGGGAGCTAGTTCAGAGTTTCATATTACCCTTCTGTTACTATAATATGAAGAGCAACATCTCTTACTCATGCATCTTCCCATTTTGTCTTTAAATCTTAAGGAACTTAGTCCAGCCAGAAGAGGAACCAAAGCATTTTGTTAACATATAATTAACAACCTACAGCCACAGACAGCAAGTTAACTCTGGCTCTTAGTATAAAAACAAGCATTTAAGTTCCTTTCACCTGGGCAGTGCTGTTAGGTTCTTTAGATCAAGCACTGGGATTTGCTGAGGTTTTCAGTGTATTCTGGAGCATGTTTTCTTTCCCACTGCAACAGGAAAGCTGTAGTTGGGGGCATGTCTGCAGGTGCCATCGGTCAATTCTTTGCCAGCCCAGCTGACCTGGTGAAGGTCCAGATGCAGATGGAAGGAAGGAGAAGGTTAGAAGGAAAACCCCTGCGGTCAGTTCCTCTCTAAAGCAGCAGTTCTTCTGTTCATGATTTCTCTTTGGCTGTTGTGCATTTCCTTGTGGGGGGCACAGATTCAGACCACTGTAGATGCAAAATGAATAAATGTAGTTTGTCCAGGTCATTTCTGCAGCACACCCTGTGAGCTTAGTTAGTCATGCCCCCGTTCAGCTGTTGTGGGAACAACAGTGATTTAATGTTGTATACAAAAAGCCTCCTGGACATCAAATGCTCACATGATTGACATTGATACTGTGTGATGTATGTGAAAAGGGAGTCAGTACTTCTGCCTTCCTTACTGTTGTGACATCTAATCCTCTTTTCAGCTTTTATACTGGTCTGAAAAGTATCACAGTAACAGCAAGGATCACAGTTCTATTAAACCACTTAGTCAGGAGTTGGTCATGTTTCTTGAGTGGAGGGAAGGAGAGGATGAGTGAAGTTTTCTCTTTCTTCCACCCCCTTTCCCTGGTTGATTTGATCTTTTTTGAGGAAACAGTTGTACGCCTGATGGCTCTAGGCAATGAAGAGGGTGTGGGATTTGAGACTATCTCCTCCTTACTCCCTTTGTACTTGCCTTTCTTCTTCTAACATAGCAGTTCTAGAGACCACAAACCTTCGCCGATCCTACATACACAACAGTTCTACTCCAGCACTTTTCTAGAGAATGGGAAGGACACTTTCCAAGGAAGGGAAACTGAAAGAAGGGATGGAGCAAAGGGCTTGCTCTCACACTGCTGCGCAGGAAGGGCCGTGCTCGCCTGCAAGCTGTGGAGCTGGGAACCTTTCCTGCAGATAACAAAGCACAGTGCTGATAGCACCCTGTGCTGCTGGAATCATTTGGTTTCTCTTGTGTTTGTTACTGCAGGCCAGAGGGTCACCTATCATTAGTGATCAGATTGGTGCTCACCAGGAAAACTGGTGTGTTTGGAAAGATGTCTCAGGATGAAGGTCAGAGATTAAATGCATCTTGAAGACCAGATCCTCGTGGATACAAATGTTCATTTTTGCTGACAATGTTGGTGTGCATCAGCTGGGGCTCTGATCCAGCAAAGCCTTGGAATATGTAGAGCAAAGATTTCTCTACGGCTGAATCCTCTGCTCAGTACTTGAATATTGGTTTCAGATTTCGAGGAGTGCACCATGCATTTATGAAGATCCTGTCTGAAGGAGGCATACGGGGCCTTTGGGCTGGATGGGTGCCAAACGTTCAGAGAGCTGCTCTGGTAAACGTGGGAGGTAAATTTAATAAGTTTTTCTGCCGTGCTTAAGTCTGCATCTAAACTTTCAGTGCAGAGTTCAGCTGCTCACCTCATCTCAGTCTCTTGATTCTCTATGGTGGGGCACCTGGCTTGCCATCCTGCAGAAATCAAGGTGCTAACACGAGCAGCAGGCCAGGACACTGCAGATCTGTCCCAGTTCTGCCACTAACTTCCAGGTCACCATCTTCTACTCAGGCTGCCAGACACTGTAACTCACGTCTGCTTTCAGCCACTCCTGACGCAATGTCCACGGCACGTGCAGCCTCTATTACTGCCTAACATTCCCAACATATTTAATAGCCTTGCAATCCAAAGTGATGAGGTGCAAGCATCATTATTGTGTTGTTTCTGATTTGGGTGAATCAGTTGTTTTACAAAATCTTCCTTTTGCCAAGCCTCCATCTTACATCAGTAATGAACAGCACAAACACCACCCATTTCTAACACTATTTTTTTTCCTAACTATTTTCTTTACAGATCTGACCACTTACGATTCAGTGAAACACTTCTTACTTCTGAACACATCCCTTGTGGACAACAGTGTCACCCACAGTGTTGCCAGGTGCCTAACTCCTTTATCAATCACCCCTCTTTTTTACTTCCAGCTTCACTGTCTAAATCTGAATGACTTATCTGTGCTAGCAGAAGCCTTTAGTCCTTGGCCATGCTATTGCTGACAAAATGTGCCTTTATAAGGATAGGTTTTTGTTTTTGTCTGAGAGGGCTTCATTGTACAAAAGACACAAAGGAGGCAGCCAGAGCTACAAAACTCTCCTTGCTACAAGCGATGTATTTCATGGCAGTCCTGTGCTAAAGAAGTGCATCCAGTGCAGTCACAGCCATGGCTATGGACTCATCATGCAACAGGATTAATTTCATAATAACAAAATGTTAATATATAACATAGTTAGAAAACTAGACTAGAAATACACCTCTGAGGAAGAGTTTGCTCTGATACTGTTTTCCCCTAAATAGGAGCCATTAGGAAAAAAGATACAGGAAATACCTGTAATTCCATAATTATTTCCATTAAAAAGCACCAAATTTTAACCAGATGAGTTTTAACCAAAATGTCCATGGCCTCTAAGTATGGAGTAGCAAAATCTTTGGCTACTTTAGACCCAGAACAAATAACAGCAGTGTTGCTTCATGAGAGCATATTAATGTTGGACACACTATACACAGATCCCTGCATTTCTTCTCCCTATTCCAGGAATGGTCTTCTTGGACTGTATATCCAGTGGGTATCATATGTGATCAGTTATGTACCGCATTTTTTCTCTTGCTTGTGCTTCTTCATACTATACAATCATGTTAAAGATCTGTTTTCAAGGCACTCCATACCTGTCTCAAAGATATTATATTGTTGCTAACATTTACACATCTTGAAGCTCTTCTGGCTGAGGATAATACCCCCTAAATCAAGTTTGCATTAAGTTATATTATTCATGATTTTATAATTATTTTTAAATTATCTCTATTCTTAGAATAATGATGCTTAAACTGCAGTAATAAACTTTAGGGTTATCTTTTTTATTGTATCTTTAAGTATCTGTGGTTCTTAATAGTGCATGTTCTGGCCTGGTTGCTGCTGTTCTGGGAACTCCTGCTGACGTAGTGAAAACCAGGATAATGAACCAACCCAGGGACTGCCAGGGAAGGTAAGGACATTTCAGACACTGACTTTTCAGTAGAAAGGTTAAACCCTGAGCCCCATTGATTTGACTGGAAATTAATCCAAATGCTAAGTCTCTAACCTGTTCTTTTTTTTTTTTTTTTTGATTATCATTTGACTATTTTAGTTTTGCATATCCAGGAGATTTCTGTTGTAATGATCAGCTAAGCTTGGTAAATTAAGTGGAATTCAGTTCTGATTAAACTTCAGTGACTTCAGTGAAATTACTTCTATGAACTTATCTGTCAAGAGATTATTTTTCCAGTGGGATGGGATTTTTAAGTGTGTATTTGTAGTCCCAACAACATTTTTTTTCTCCTTGCATGTTCTCCTCCATGCTAGAGGTCTGCTGTACACATCTTCCATGGACTGCTTGATTCAAACCGTACAGGGTGAAGGGTTTATGTCTCTATACAAAGGCTTTATACCAATCCTGATGTGAATGGTAAATACCTTTCAACTCGGTTTACAATTAGATAGTTGAACAGCATGACATTAAAATATAAAGAGCTCCTCCTGTGTTGGTATTTCCAAACTACTTGGGTTTCTCTCAGGATATTCTATTTAATTGCAGTTAGTGTATTTGAATGTAGTGGATGAAACAGCTCCTAGAGTGCCACTACCACCTAATATGAAGGTGGAATAGCAAAAACTAATATGAGATTGTGCTGGAGAATATGATTTTTAGGAACAGATAAGTCCAATTTAATATACTGTATTTATGCATTCGGCCCTTCTGTTTCAAGGTTCTAACTTCTGCAATTGCTTTTACAGGCACCTTGGTCACTGGTATTCTGGCTTACGTATGAGCAAGTCAGAAGGATCTGTGGAGTTAGTTCTTTCTAAAATCTTGAAACCACATCCATATGCACAAAACAAAGAAGAACCAAAAAGCTTAATTCTCATATCACAAAGTCCCACCCTGCAGAGAACTAGCTCATTTCGGAGACTGGCAGTAGTGTGGCATGTATAGGTTGATGCTGCACATCCAGCCCTTACTGGTTAGGACTAGCCATAATCTAATGGCACTCTTTGCTTGGGAGACTGTTACCTGAAATTTAAGTTATCCACAGGATGAAATTGTCACAAAAATAATATTTCAACCAGCAGCAAGCATAAGCAGCAGCATTCTGGAAGAATGAACACAGGAAAAAAAAAAAAGAACAAGGAAGTTATAACGCTGGTTTTATTTTTCATAATAGAGATGGTTCCTATAGTTAAGGGCAAGAGTAAGTTGAACAATGCAGCTTTGAACATCTTTTGTGGCTAAGCAGTGAGCACCAGTCCATAAAATCAATTGGGCATTTTTTTGTTAATATTACATTTGTATACATAGAGAACTACCTCTTCTCTAGTTTGATGTTTCAGCAAATCAAGCATGAAGTGCTAAATACTGAAACAATTAAAGCAGTTATCTGATTTCAAGTATGTTTTGCTCCGTAACTGGAAAGACCAGCGTTCATCTGAATTCCCAAAGACTAAGTTCTTCATCCAAGCATTTGAATACTATTCTGTGCATATTCAAGAGTGAAATTCATTCCTGTACCCAGGAATGAAAAGCCTAGTTCACTTTAAATCTGGCTTAAGAAACTGGTAATACACAGGACAAAGCTGAACTACTTGTCTTCCGAAGGTCTCGCACCACTTTTCAGTGGAAATAACCGCTCTGGCTGCCTATCTGAAATCTAAGTGGAAGCAAAGTGGTAATATTTTCTTTCTAAACATGTTTGAATGCACAAGTGTTTTTGTAAACCTAAAGCTCTCTGGATTTCATAGGCAACAGGGGCTAGCTACTTGTTGTTAGGCCTATCTCTGGCAATCGGGAGGCAAGAATGCAGTGTAATGGCAATGATAAGATAGTGAGCGGAGAACAAAACTGGTCTTGATCTAGCAATACCTAGTAATGACAGAGCTGTACAAGGCTTATCTGCCTAAGTAAAGACTTGACATTACTTCTAGACTAGTTTTACTAGAATCTGAACTAGAATCTTCAATCTGCCAATTTAGTATTAAATAGAGGTTGGGTGTCTCTTCTTGACTGCACTTATTCCCTTTGATTAGAGATACATCTGGTAGATAGATAGGTAGATCTGTTGGGGCTGCATGTGTTTTGGGTATTGTGGTGAAATGTGAATGTGATTCTAGTCTGGAAAAAAAATGCTGTGTACAAATTCATCCCCTCATTACTAGGAGGTCAAAATGTATGAATTTTTTTTTCCTGTTTGTCAGTTTGAGAAAGTAATCTAAGTTCTTTCCCTCTTGCACATTGTCAGCAGCAACTATAAACTGGCAGGCAAGCTGCTGCTTCAGTTACTGAAGCCTGAGTGGTCCTGCCTGCAATCCTGTTACTCAGATAGCCCTGACAATGGATATGTAGAAGTGCCTGATCTAAAAAAAAAAGGCAATTTAAAAAATCTTTTAGTGAAAAGCTGTTTTAGCTGCTGATTAAGCTCTTTTTTTGAGTATAAAACACTAAATTGATTCATAACAGTGCCAATGTCTAGTATTTTTTATTCAAGAAATAAATAATTTGAATAGCAGATGCTGCCTCTTGCTACATTAATTTTTAGTGTTTTATAATTTATTCCCATTTTTTCAAGCAGAAATGTCTTCACAGAAAGGCCATATTTATTTGGACTAACTAGTTTTAATTTCAGGGACGAAGAATTCGCTCTAGGATGGCTCCTAAGGTTCCTGCAACAGATTATCTGGTGAAATAAGAATGGCTTTTTGAAGTCCCTGGGTTTGCATCTTCCTCATGCCTGCGCTTACTTCAAAAGCCTGCCTGGAAAGAAGGGAAAAAATAAGGGAGAAATCAGAAAATTTCAGGGCATAGCAAAGGAAATGAATGAAAGTGACAGTCAAAGGAAACTGGAGGGGGTACCATGCAGAGCACCCGTGTACACTGCTTCATAAAGACTTTTCCAAGCTTAAGATCGGTGCATCCCTGTGGGTAACAAGTCAGGGAAGGAGGGCAGGAGGCCTGCGTGGATGAGCAAGGAGCTCATGGCAAAAGTCAAACAGAAGAAGGCAGTATACTGAATGTGGAAATAAGGACAGGCCCCTTGGGAGGAATATGGAAATGTTGTCAGGGAATGCAGGGATGTGACAAGGAAGGCGAAGGCACTTTGGGAATTAAATCTGGAAAAGGATGTTAAAAGATTACAAGAAGAGCTTCTTCAAATATATCAGTGGCAAAAGGAAGATCAGGGAAAACGTGGGTCTGTTGTTCAACAGGTGCCCTGGTTACAAAAGACACAGAAAAAGCAGAGTTACTGATGCCTTCTTTGCTGCGGTGTTTACCAAGGACAGCCCTCTGGAATCCCAGACCCTAGAGACAAGAGAAGAAGCCTGGAGAGAGGAAGACTTGCCCTGGGTAGAGGAAGATTGGGTTAGAGAACACCTAGGTAAACTTGGTATCCACAAATCCATGGGCCCTGATGGGATGCACCCACGAGTGCTGCGTGAGCTGGAGGATGTTGTTGCTGAGCCACTCTCCATCATCTTCAAGAGGTCCTGGAGAACAGGGGAGGTGCTGGTAGACTAGAAGAAAGACCTGTCTTGAAAAATGGCAATAAGGAGGACCCAGGCAACTATAGGTCAGTCAGCCTCCTCTCCGTCCCTGGGAGTGATGGAATAGCTCATCCTGGCTGTTGTCTGTAAGCATGTGGAGGACAAGAAAGTGCTCAGGGGTAGTCAGCATGGATTCACCAAGGGGAAATCATGCTCAACTAACCTGATAGCCTTCTATGATGGAATGACTGGCTGAGTAGATGAGGGGAGAGCGGTGGATGTCATCTATCTGGACTTCAGCAAGGCTTTTGACACCGTCCCTCACAACATCCTCCTGGGCAAGCTCTGGAAGTGTGGATTAGATCAGTGGACAGTGGATGGCAGAGCTCAAAGCGTGGTGATCAGTGGTGCAGAGTCTAGTTGGACGCCTGTAGCTAGTGGGGTCCCCCAGGGGTCAGTCCTTGGTCCAG